CCCCTGACTCTGCCTCTTGAGTGCTGGAATTAAAGGAGACACATGTATGGGGAAGTGTAGGATTCTTGCCCAATAGATGTGGCTATGAAGGTCATGCCTATGAGATGCCTTCATCAGTGTCTGCCTTAACCTAAGCAGGTAAGAGTGAGCAGTAGAGAGGCTGTGGAGGCAGCTTGCTGTCTTCTTGGTTTGCAAACTGTCATCAAATCAACAAGCTTTCCTTCACGTATCTACACAGTTGTTTTTTAAGCAAAATGATTTCATAAAGGACACAGGTTAGAGTGCAGTGAGTGTGAACAGCCCGGTCCTTACTATGCCAGGGCTAACATGTGCATTGTTTTAAGTTTAGGGTTTTCAGACTACAGACTTTTTTCCTCTGTTGACTGCATTTATTTTTTTAGTCACTAGTATGAAAATGAAAATACTTAATTTATTTGTAGATCAGGTTTAAAAACAACTGTGACACTTGAAAAATGATGATCCCAATGATATTTCCTTTCTTGCTTATCTTCCAGAAAGTCATGCTTCCATTAAAAAGGAAAAAGTGGTGTCTTTCTTACTTCTTTGAAACTTGACATGTTTTGCACCTGTCTCAACTAATAGGTTATGCCAAATCAATGCTGTACAAGCTTAGCTGTAAAATGCATATCACTTCTGTACTGTTAAGCATCATCTTAGATGTCTAAAAGGACCACATTTTGGAGGAACTCATGGAGAGTTCTGAGAACACTTAAAGAATGAGTAGTGCCCAGCCAGTCCCAACTGCCTCAGCCACTTGTGTCCTCGAGTTCTACTCTAACCACCATCTACTCTACCTTACTACTAGTCCCTGAGAAGGCTCTGGAATGCCTAATGTAGTCTTAACTAAATTGTTTATGATTAAAAGACACAAGTAAAACCAAATATTACTATTAAGTCACTAAAATTTCTTATGCACACAATGAAAACCTGTCTGATTCAGCTGGTAATTACAAGTGTTCGAGTGCATGTATACAGACACAATTACATACACAAAATGTATGCCACATGGTACACATTCAGTGAAAGAAAACATATTGGATCCATTAAAGCAATCTTCAGGGTCTGTGGCTTATGCACTAAATACTAGAAACAGAGTAAGAATGCAAAAAGCATCTATTGTTTTCAATTTTCTTGAAGGATTTGCATCACAACATTCTAGGTAAAGGTGCTCCTAGAACACCATGAAACAGATGCTAAGATCACCAAAATTCTGATAGCACAATTTCTCACACTTAATCTTAATAGACATGTAATACCATTTACACTATATCAGTTAGCATCTTCACTCCTACCCACAGGCAAATATTGACTACACAGATGTGTTTGACAAGTAAGAAAACCAATATGCTGATATAAAGTAAAGAACAAAGCAATATAGTTTTTAGACTCTGTTTCTAAGGAAACTATATCATTGGGTCTCTTCATAGCAATCTTTTTGAGGAAGTATTGTTAATGTGAACACCTGGGACACTAGCTTAGAGGGGAAGATAAAAATAAGACTGTTTCAGTGGTTATTCTTGGAGTTCAGAATGTTTGGTTCCTAAAGATGTTTGAAATCATTAAATGGATCTGTCTCTATTAAAAAAAACTTCTCGAATAGCTACAGAGTATGATGATGATGGAGAGTTACAGGTCACAATGTGGCTTTGACTTCTATGTCAGCATCTAACTGCTTAATATCATGCACAGAAGTTTGTGAGCCATGTAATGTCCATGGTGGAAACTCTGGGTTATGCATTTCTTCCCTGTAGGCTGTCAGTCTATGCTTTGGGGTAACATATGAAGTATGGCCTTGGTTAATTGGATTCCCTTTGTGAAAATAACAGTGGCCAATATATAGTACACCATAAGTAGGGTAGACACCCTACAGAACCATTCAGAGATGTTTCTCTTGCCCGAACATAATACTATGCCTTATAAACCAGCAATCTGGAGGTACCCTGACCCCTCTCCCTCTCTCCATTTGCCACCCTCTGCCTCATTGCCACAAAATTATTTTCTCCCTACACTCCTTAAAAAGAATAGAGCCACAAAGACAAAGGCAGACCAAATACAAAAGATGTGATCTCTTATATTTCATAAATGCAAATTTAAATTTAATATGTCATTCCAGTAAACACAACTCCATTTCAATAAAGAATGAATTGTCCTTCATGGTAGAATGAGTGTATAGGAAAGGTTACAGAAATCTTCTTGTCAATGTGTACCCTGACCTTACTTTTAAATGTTAGAGTGACTTGTAAAAAATTAATGCTACAGTCTTCTATGTACCATTTTTCTACTCTTATAAAGAAAAATGCACTTCTTTTATTCATGTATCCAATAGATAAAAGCTTCATTGTGGACAAATAATATTTATAACTGATCCATTTCATATGATATATATATATATATATATATATATATATATATTTCCACTAACTTGTTCTGATTTTCAAAATAGTATTTATTTTAATCATTCATATAAGTAAAAATATTCACAAACCAAAAGAGAAAATTAATGACTAACAAAATGGTTTACTTTGCTTTAAAAGTTATGATGGTTACAATAACTTAAATAGCTTACTATTAACAGACACATTCCAAAGTTGCAGGAAATCTGTTTTTAATGTGTTTTCTTTCTCATGCTATTGTGTGTTCCATCTAAGTGAGGGACTACCTGGACTAATTTCAAATATTCTCATATGACATGCCACTCTAAGAAAATCTTTTTTCCAGATAAGTTATAAAGGACATATATTTCTTAATGACAGGCATTTTATCTTCTGTGATCATTTAAATTATAGGTGTAGAATCCTGTTTTATATGGCACCCTGCTACTGTGGAACTTTTCTTTAAGCTATTTGAGTTAGACAGCTTCTGCCAAACAAAACAGTGGGAGGGAAACTATAAAAAATAAAAAAAAACTTTAATATGCTAAAAAAAGAAATAAGTGAACAAGCAGCAATCTAAACATAAACTGGAGAAGTATTCCCATGACCTACGTCTCATACAGAATCAGCTCCAGGGAAGCACAGAAAATAGAATACCAAGAGACGCCTCAGGAACTGTCTTCAGAAGCAGAAATCACTTCAAGACAACACATAAGGAGTTGTTATACCAAAGTTCATTATATGCAAACCCCAGAGATATTTAAGGTCTCTACTCAATGATATTCTTCTAAAATGAGAATGAAAGATTTTGAAATGAAAAGTTGTCAAATATAAGGTCAGGGAAATCTAAAGCAGTCACACAGTGATGGCCAAACTATAAAAGAGGGGTGGGTATCCATAAGGTGGCCTTTAGAGAAACAGTGGATATGTAGTGTAATACCTTGCAAGGCTAGTGTCACTTTGAAAGATGAAATTTGTGATATCTGTCTTTGATTCAAGTATACTGCTCTTCTGTGGCTACATGATATATTTAAGTCACTTTTTTTAGATGCATATAACCAGATGAGGCTTAAAATGAACACATATTATTAGAGTCATGATGGAAAATATTATTGTGCACTAGTCAGGAGGTAGGTCCTGTGATCATGTACACACAAGGACCATTCATGTGTCTGACCCTCTGTGGCTACCCACAACCATCCTGTACTGCAGAAGTCTGTGCTAGGATTTCTAAGGTTCAGAGAGGTTAAATCACTCAATGCCATACTCAAATGCATGGCACAATTCTAGAACCATTTCTCCTCAACACAGATGTCCTTGAGGGCTATGTGAGACGGTTCAGTCACTTACTTAATATTACTTTAAGATTAAAATGGGCTCATTAATTTTCAATAGACTAATCCAAAATTCAACTCAGCACCAAACACAGAATAAAATTTGTCATTTTATATTCCCATTATGTGTATTTGTTTAAGCCAGGAAAGGAAGCAAGATCCAATTCTTACTTATAGGAAGACTGTATTTATTTCTCTTTCTTCCATATTTTCTTTTCATTATCTATAAAAGAGAAATTTTTCTAGCTTCATTCTCTCTGATGTCTCTGTGAACATCATAGGACAGTCTAAAGGATAGTCTACAAATCAATTTCTATTATCACGTAATAGTGGTAGCATGAAGCCATGAGCTTTACCATATGAGGAGAAAAATATTTTGCATGCAACTTTTAAAATCACTGGGAAATTATAGAATCTTGAAAATAGCAAGATTTAATATCTATCTGAAATGAAATTTTTATTAGAATTTATTCTTAATAGTAGCAAGACCTATCCACTCTCCTAAAACTAATTTTATAAATATGCCAGTGTGGCTTCTCTTTCCAACCATAATCAAATATGTAAAAGAGCATGGAATGAGCCATAAATAGCAATTTCAATTCTTAAAGATCTTAAAAAATCAATGACCGCTAGTGAAATATAGTTGTTTTGCAAAATAATCAAGGAAATGTGTTTATATCAAGTAATGTGTTTCCTTAATGAAAATAGTAGCATACTTAATTATATAATAACAGACACATATAGATAAAAGGCAGGGCCAGTTGCCTATGCAGATAATATGTAACAGCCTTTTCAAGCTCACTGATACATTATTCATTTTAGAGTAATTTCCTGTGTACCTACTAACTATAGCCTAAGCACTAAAGATGATGAATAGAAAAGAAACAGACATTATTTTTAAGACATGGTATGCATAGAAAATAATCAGAGAGTTATAAATATATAAGAGCTTTAATTATAAGCGGCAACAGTGAGATGAAGAAAAATCACTATCTGATAAGAAATGAGAGTTACTCAGTAAAGAATGAGTTATTACTGATTGCTTGATGTTTTCTTTTACATAGTATTGGCATATTTTTATTTTTAAATAGCTTATTTTTAAATAGCTTAATATTTTATTAATTATTAGATAACAATAAGATTCAATTCATAGGTCATAGGTTTTCCAAAGTCTATGAGAAATAAACTAATCATTTGTAATATGTGGAAATTATTATGTCATTACATCACTAAACTTAAACATGTTAAATTATATTATTATGAATTAAAATACCTGTGGTACCCATTTGGAGGACACAAAGCTTGTTACCTCTATTACAGACAAGCCAGTTTGAGAAAGTTGATTGATGAATTCAATTTTTATATCTGTAGGAATTATAACCTTAAAAAAATCATAAAACATACAGTATAAGTGAACTGTATTAAAACTATTGAGGCACAAAATATTACTTCCTAATTAAAAGAAAATACAATATGATTTTAAATTCAAGTAGTAACTATACATAAATATTGTTCAAAATATAAAATCCACAAACTATTAAAATTTTAAGGAATTCACTGTGTAAAGCTAATATAAACCTACCTTTTCATTCTGTAATCCATCCCTAGGTCCAACTTCTACTATTTTCACATACTCAGGGAGTCCAGACAACTGGGACACTTCCTGAAATGCAAGGCATAGGAACAAGAAAAAGAAATGACTTGGATTGCTATTCTATTTGCAGTGGTTGGACTAAGAATGTCTCTCATAGGGCTTGGACACTGAAACACTTGATCCCCAAAGTGTGGTGCTATTTCAGATTTAGGAGATGTAACCTTGCTGGAGGAAGTTGTTACTAAGGGCTGGCTTTGGGGATTCATAGTCTTGCCCTATATCCAGTCCTCTCTCTATCTCATGTCCTAGCCCCATTCCTGCTACTTGCTGTTGTAAATCATGATGGAATATTAACCATTTAAAATCTGTAAAATACCTTGTTTATGGTGTTTTATTAAAACAATAAAAAGGATAACTAACATAGTATTTGGTACTAGAGAGTAGGGTGTGCTGTAAAGAACCTGGACATTGGTTTGATGTTCTGCTTGAGGAATGTGAAGGATTTTGGGACTTAAGACTAGAATACTGGTTAACCCTTGAATGTAAAGATTAAAACAATTCTAGTAGTAGCATAAAAGATAGTGCTGAGGGCAAAAAAAAAAAAATTGTAGAGGCCTGGCTCAAGAGGTTTCAGGGAAGCAAAGACTTTTACCAGCAACTGGGCTAGAGGGCATTTGTGTGATATTTTGGCCAAGAATCTGGCTGCCTTTTGCCTCTATACTAAGAAGTTAACTGAGGTTAAATTGAAAAGTAATGGGCTAAACTTTTGTTTGAGGAAATTTCAAGACACTATGACAGTGAATCTGTGTCATGACTGATACCGATAATGTTTATGCAGATCTACAATGAAATAAGAACAAGTGGGGAAGAAAGAAATACAAAATGTAAAGTTTGGAGAGAAAAAGAACATAGGAAGCTTAATGCTACAGCCAAGGCATGTACTAGAAGAGAGGCTGTAATTACGAAGGCGGTTAGACTGTTTCAGAGTGACTTTCCGCTCTGCACCAGAGTAAAGGGAAGGGTGCCTTCAGGTGAAAACTTCACCCAGCTAAACTTCTACCAGTATAAGAAAACCTGGGGCCTTTTCTGAAAGTGACAAAATAAAAGTTCTGCTGCTAATGTGATTCAAGGGGCCAGGGGCCATCCCCAGCTGGCAGCCTAACTTGGCAGTGTTATGCACATGGTTTTGGCTCTGGAGACATAAAGGATGAAAAATTGAAGACGTCTTGGATTCTTCCTCTGTGGTTTCAGAGAACCACTGAGGTCAGGCGGCACATGGCAGGGGGGTTACCATCTTGGAGGTCTTTGTAGAGCCATATGCTTTGAGAGGCCATTGCATGGAGTTGTGAAAGTAAAGCCTGAGTTACAATGAAGACCCCAAAATATTGGAGACTTCAGAGCCACGGCATATCTGCCAAAAACAACTGCCAACAATGAGTGGAACTATCCCAAGAGACACTCATATTTCAGGCAGCCAACCCTGAATAGCAGAACCATCTAAGCCATTGGACACCAGGCAGGGAACTACAAGATTCACTATGTTTTGGTCTTGCTTTGATCCAGCCTTTCCTAACTGTGACACCATTTTCCCATTCTGTTCCATCATATACTTGAAGTATGTAATATGCTTTGTTATTTAACTGGGGATTATAAGTAAGACATTGCCTTGAGTCTCAGAAGAAAGTTTGGATTCTTCAACAGTGTTATACTGTGAAAGACTATATATAGGGACTTTTGGCACTGAACTAAATGCACGTGAATTATGATACAGTCATGAACCCATGGTGGTCAGGGAGTAAAAAGTTATGGTTTAAATAGGAATGTTCCTCTCTGGCTCGAATATTTCAACACTTGGCCACAGCTGATGGTGATGTTTGAGAAAGTTTAGGAGATGTGACCTTGTTGGAGAAAATATGCCATTGAGGAGAAGGCTTTGTGAATGTATGTCCATTTTGCTCTTTGTTTCCTGCTTGTAATTGAGGATATGAGCTTTCAGATTCCTGTGCCTGTCCCCTGCCTGCGTCTTGCTGCTAGGTTCCCCACCATGATGGGCTCTTCCACCAATAGAATGGTAAGCCAGATGAAACTCTTCCTTCTTTTGTTTCCTTGACCATAATGATTTATCACAGCAACAGAAGAGTTACTAATACACTGGTTTATTTTTAAAGTTAAATAATAACACTATATTAAATAAATTCTGATTCCACAAAGACAAAACAGTAAGAAATCAATAGGAAACAAACCTGATATATCATTTATACTATTTGCAATGTTGACATAACTCATTTATTATAACTTTACAATAGGTGTTTTGATTGAAATTCCAAAAGTAAATTTCTTTTAAATAACTCAATTCCATTATATAGATCATTAAAAATTCATTGGAAACTATTCATCTTGTAGACATTAATATTCAAAGTAATCCAGAGTGTCTGAAGGAACAGGATAAAAAAAGTTAAACACCAAAAGAGGGAGGAGTGATGAGCAAAGGGGTCAAGACCATGCTGAGGAAACCCATAGAAACAGTTGAACTGAGCAAGTGGGAGCTCATGGACCCCAGCCTGAGGGACCCAGCATAGCACAGAACCAGGCTCCCTGAACATGGATGACAATTAGAAGGCCTGGGTACTCTATGGAGCCTCTTACGATGGAACCAGTACTTATTCCTCCTGCAGGAATGGACTTTGGGACCCCATTCCCTATGGAAGGATAGATACTCTCTCAGCCTAGATACATGAATGAAAGTGAATTGGGAATAATATGTAAAATAAGATTGTTTCTAATTTAAATTTAAAAAGTTAAAAAAGCAAATATATTAATCAATATGTGGCAAAAGAACTTAACACTTTTCAGGCAGTAGTGGTGCACATCTTTAATCCCAGCACTCAGGAGGCAGAGGCAGGAAGATCTCTATGAATTTGAGGCCAGCCTGATCATGTTCTAGGAAAGGCTCCAAAGCAATACAGAGAAACCCTGTCTTGAAAAACCAAAAAAGTAAAAAGAAAAAAAAAAACAAATGTTCAATAAATATAAGAAAAAACTGCCCATCAATCTTAACAACCTTAATCACAAGGGAAAGTCTAATTAAAACAGTACCACAGTGCTAGAATAGTTGGATGATAGTGTATAGAAGACTGCAGATAGACCCATGTCTATCACCATGCACAAAACTTAACTCCAAATGGATCAAAGACCTCAACATAAATCCAGCTACAATGAACCTCTTATAAGAGAAAGTGGGAGGTACCATTGAATGAATTTGTACAGGAGACCATTTCCTGAACATAACACCAGTAGCACAGACACTGATATAACAATTAATAAATGGGACCTCCTGAAACTGAGAAGCTTCTGTAAGGCAAAGAACATAGTTGACAAAACCAAACGGCAGCCCACAGACTGGGAAAAGATCTTTACCAACCCCACATCTGACAGAGGGCTGATCTCCAAAATATACAAAGAACTCAAGAAACTAGTCACAAAACACCAAATAATCCAATTAAAAGTGGGGTACAGAACTGAATAGAGAATTCTCAATAGAGGAATCCAAAATGGCTTAAAGACACTTAAGAAAGTGCTCAACATCCTTAGCTATCAGGGAAATGCAAATCAAGGCAACTCTGAGATATCATCTTACTCTTGTCAGAATGGCTAAAATCAGGAGCACCAAAGATAGTTTATGAGGAACATTCCTCATCTAATACTGAGCCCCTTATAATGTTTGTGCTCCTTCTACTTCAAAGTCATTTGAGCTTTAAGTGTAGAGGTTGTACTATTGATGTCCCATTTGTGGGCTAGATAACATGGTCACTCATTCTCTGCCTTTTCACTAGATATGGATCTCTGTAATAGTCTCTTCCTTCTGCAGAAGAAACATCTTTTATGTGGGGTGTAGGCTGTACTACCTATTGCTATGAGTACTAGAATTGAAAATGGAGTAAGAGCTTATAGTGGTTTGGGAAAGTAACAGGGGTAAGTTCTCCTGTAGGTTCTGTGACTTCTAGAGCCAGAGGTTCTCAGTTAACTTTATAGTAGCATGAATAAGTTCCCTCCTATGGAGCAGGCCTTGATTCAATTAAACAGCTTTGGTTACCCCAGTATATAAATGCCACTATTACACCATTGGGAATATCCTTCCAGGCCAGTTAAAGTGGCTATTTTTTTATGTAATCCCCAGTGTGTGTGTGTGTGTGTGTGTGTGTGTGTGTGTGTGTGTGTGTGAGAGAGACATGGAAAGTTCACTGGTATATTTGCACCCAAAGTTGTGACTGGTTTGGTTAGCATTCTGTGTTAATTTCTGGAAAGAATCAAGATGATTCCTGATACATTTCTAACAGACTGTCTTTGACAATTTATGTGAAACTATAATTAATTAACAAAAAAAAAAAACAAAGAAAGAAAAGAATTCTCATTTTTTTCATCTTCTTCTCTGGTGAGGCATGAAATTAACTGGGGAGGATATGGGGCTGAGAGGGTAGCACAGATCCTCAGCTTTGGATTCAGTTCTGGATGACAATACTGAAATCATGCCTAATGATGGAGTGGTTATAATTTGACCAAGAAGTAAGAAGTATGGCATGAACAGATGGAGTAAGGGAAGACACTCCCTTCTTTTTATTAACTCTCATCCTCAAATGGAAGAAATGAGACCAGAACAAAATCAAAACCAGGCGATCGTAAATGTGATCTCATTATCATTGTTTCCACTACATTTTCATCATGAATTATCTTCCAGCAGACATGGACAAAGAGTACTGCTTTATTAAAGGGGACTGTTTACCCAAGGAAGGAAAACAGTGTTTTAAAGGTGACAACTATATATCATGTACAATTAAAGATCTGGGTGATTTCCTTAGCATCAGTTTGATTTGGGTGCCATTATTCACAAGCATATGAAGAAAACCAAAAATAACCACCATTTCAGTCAAATCAGAGTAGCTTCTCATTGGATGTGTTTTTACTTTCTTCTCGAATCTAATTCACCAGTCTTTCTAGTCAACTCTAATTAAGCCAATGACACAAGGAATTCCCTAATGCCATTAACATATCCTCATTGCACACAGACCGTG